ATTAAGAACTGAAAAGTTTGACCGAGCTATTACATAACGAGAGTGAGAAGTAGGAGAGCCCACTTCTTGAAATTTTTTATAAAGTCTTGATTTTAAGTTTTTTAGACTGGATAACTCTTTGGTAAACCAAGGGGGTTTTCCAGATCTAATCGGACAAGAAAGCGGGACACAAGAATCAAAAAATGTGCCAAGATCATTTTAAAAAATGTTTGTGCCTTTTGTGACATCAGTGCACAAGTACAAAGCGGACCAATCAAAATCCCTAATTAGGTTATTAAGCTTCGCAAACTCGGCTTTACGAAAGCAGCGGACACGTTCAGGGAGTCTACTCGACCGATCCAATACAGTTGGTCCTATATCTAGCGACAACTCGAAGGTAGGGTGGTAGGCGTCTTCAGGTATAGTGAGCGGAAGGGCTCGGTCTAACAATACTATGGTCGGATCCGATACAAAGCATAGATCAAGCAATCGACCCAAGGAATTTTTCACATGATTGACTTGAGACAGGGACAGGTCAAGCAAGCCGTCAACAAAGTCATGTCGTGACATGGGCACTAGGATACTAGACTCGTTTACCGAAGACCAAACAGTTCCTGGCAAGTTGAAGTCACCAAGAACTATCATACGATCTTTATCAGATAGCGAGGAAGAAACAGCGGTTAAAGCGGACAAGTGCTGCTCATAAATTGAAATATCCGATGAAGATGGGATATACGAGCAAGTAATGAATATAGCGAAAGCGGGAAGAATCAGTTTTACACACAGGAATTCCAGTTCCTGTTGAACTTGGACTGTGAAGTGTTCTGACGTGAAGTTAGACTCCACTGCAATTAGAACCCCTCCTGCACGTCGAGACGAACGGTCCTTTCTAAAAGTTGTGTACCGACCTGCCAAAACTTCGGAACTATGAATGTCCGGCTTTAACCAGGTTTCAGTAAAAACAATAACGTAGGAAGCAAATGCAACACTATTCCGGAAAAGAATGCTGAGCTTACTACGCAAGCCTCTTACATTCTGATAGGTTACTAAAAGAGAAGTTAGTTTTTTGGAAAGGTGGAAGCAAAACGGGAAGTTGAGGAAGAGGAAGTTGAGGTTGAGGGTGGCGCACTGGAAAAATTTGGAAGGGATATGGGGGCCTATTCTTCTTCTTAGCCTTAAACTCCTTCACCACCAAATGCTCCGGCCAAAATTTGGTGGAGCAAATGGTGTCAAATTGAGTTGGGGAGATGCTTATCTTAAACGAGGCTATCTCCCTGGCATAACAGAAGTTAAATTTCTCCGCCTTTAAACCCACGGCTTTTATTTTGCTTTGAATAAAAGCAATTACATCATCATTAGCAGTTTTAAACCGCTAAACTGAGCCTCCATGGCTAGGAGCCGATCGTATTGGTTTTTAAAACCAACGGTCAGCTCCTTACAGCCACTCCGCGTCTGCCTCATAAAAGCTACCATGTCTTTCTCCACCGCACGTCATGCCTCGCAACTGTAATGCAAGCCATTACGTTTGGCTATAGCATCACTCACGAGGCCAGAAAATCCAGCGCATTTTGCGTGCACTACGCTGTCGCAGAGCCAGCAGGGGACATTCGGCTGATCGTGGGTGATCTGCTTCTTACAGGTTTTTTTGGCACAGACCACAGCGTATTCCATTTTATTATTATTTATTTACTATTATTTGCAAAACAAATTGGTATCAGTCCAATGTGCCAGACAACGCTCAAAGCGGAATTGGTAAAAAAAATAGAGCAGAGTGGAGAGCGGTTATAGCGAGAGCTACTAAGCAGAGAGCGCTATTGCTCAGAAAGTTTAAAGAGCGAGAGAGAAATAACAGTTATTGAAGTTGAGGTGATAGCGAGAGAGTGATAAAACAACAAAAGCTACCAGACGAGAGCGGACTGCAATGCAATGTAATGCGTACTGACTCACTGCAATAACAATAATAATAAATTCAAAACAAAAGGAAAAAATGCGGAGCGCAAAACAAAAACACGTCTGATCACTACGAAAGAGAACTACGATTTTTTGTAGGCAATCGCCGGATAGCACTTACGGGACACCGCCGAACTAAGAATTACTACGAATACGGGAATACCGACGCATATCGCCGAGAGTGCCTAGGCAATCGCCGGATAGCACTTACGGGACACTATCGGGCGAAACATTACTGCGAAAGTCTTTATTATACAGGCAAGGTATCGCCGAGAGGGCTTAGGCAATAGCCCCTTCGGGACCCAGGGAACTACGGAGTTCAGGCGAGACACCAACAGGCGTCACCGGGAGCGCTTAGACGACCGTCGGATAGCGGCCTCGGGACCCTGCGGGGTCACAAACTACTGGAGGGAATCATGCGGAGGGAACGCCGACAGGTGTCACCGAGAACGCCTAGGCAATCGCCGGACAGCGGCCTCAGGATCCTGTCGGGCTACGAACTACTGAATGGAATCACACAGACTCGGGCAAGAGGCGTGAGGAAGGGCAGAGCAGATGAAGCCCCGGGCCTCCAGGTTCCCACGTGTATAGATTGTTGGTATTCAGGCTATGTTTATGTTATATTTGTTACATTTCACTTTATTCTTTCTTAGTTCCCTACCTATCGCACCGCTCAGCAGCCCGTATACACGTCTAGAGACTCGCTTACCCATGAACTCCCACGCTTGTACTCGTCGAAAGCCTCCTCTTCCCCGTGGGTGCAGCGTAGATGCAGGATCTCCTCTCCGTAAGTGTAGTACCGATGCAGGGTCTTCTCCCCGTAAGCGCAGCGTCGATGCAGGATCTTCCTCGTGTCACAGATCGCGTTGGCGTGGATCCGGTCCGCCACGTGTTTCGCTTTTTCCAAGCCACTCGAATTTTTTCCGCGAACACGTCCGACTCCTACGATTGCTCCCAATCGAATTTTTTCTCCTTCCACGTTTTTTCCAGCTCAGAGCCGGCGTTCTACTGGCCTTGCCGATCCAGCGTCAGCGTGGGCGGCTAGCGTCGTCATTCTCGCGGCGGCAGAGGGCTGGCGCCGTCGTTCGGCGTCTACGCTGCGCCGGTGACTTTTGTCTCTCTTTTCCCTGCTGGCGCGTTGTTACTCGGTTTTGGTTTTCCGCGTTTCTCTTCTGCCGTTGCTGCTGTGGGCTTACCGTTTCGGCGCTTCGTTGCTGCGTCGACGCTGGCGGCTTATCTTTTCGGCGCTTCTCAACTTCGGCTGTCGCTGAATTGATGCTGTTGGCTACCGTTTCGGCTCTTGGTGTATTTCTCTCTCTCTTTGGCTTCCGCTGCGTTGTTGTCGTTGGGTTTTGCTTCTTGGTGTATTCCTCCCCGTTTCTGTGTCGGTGCCGTTGGGTTTCGGTTCTTGGTGTATTCCTCCCCGTTGCTGTGTAGGTGCCGTTGGGTTTCGATTCTTGGTGTATTCCTCTCTCTCTTTGGCTGCTGCTGCGTCGTTGTTGTTGGGTTTGGTTCTCGGTGGTTTCCTCGTCTCCCTTTGGCCGTTGCTGCGTCGTTGCTACTGGGTTTGGTTCTGCAAAGCCAGTGGCGCCCGCCGTGATCGCGACTTGCCCCCCCCCCCCCCCCCCCCCTTAATCTTAATTCAAATAAAGTAGGTCCGGGTCCGTCCGATGGGAAAATGCCCGCGAGTTGATGGGCGGAAAAATGTGGGTGGAGCGTACGCTCCCTCACACCCCCTCCATACTTCGGTGGTGCCGAAGAGTGACGGTGACGGACCGGCTGCGGGTAATTTTTACGCGAAAGCAAGTGCCGTCATGGACCTCTAGTCGCCGGACTCCCAGTCGGTAGGCGCGATCGCGTAAGAATACGGTGATGTTGGATATGAGGTCTAGGGGCAACCGCCGACCTGGCGCGTTGGTCCGCCATTCGGGGGGAGCCTCTGCCCATTCTATCCGCGTTGTCCGTGGTCGCGTTGTCGTCGTCTATGGCAGCCCCATAACTCCCGAACCAACGGCGATTCATGGCGGCGACCAGGCTTAGCGGGTCGTGGTGTAGAGCGATGCTGGTTTCCCGTGGGGTCGTTCGCTCTGATTGAGCCGCACTGCTGGGCATCTCTGATTTGGCTCGCGTCGATCGTGTTATATTTTTAGCGCCGCCGGGTCCGTCTCGGTCGGGGCTTAGATGCGTCCTTGTATCGTTGCTGGGTCTGGCGTGGTCGAGGTTTAGAAGTGTTGTCCTTGTATCGCGGCTGTTTCTGGCGTGGTCGGGGCTTAGAAGCGTTGTCCTTGTATTTCGGCTGGGTCTGGCGTGGTCGGGGCTTAGAAGCGTTGTCCTGATGTTGCTGCTGGTTCTGGCGTGGTCGAGGCTTCGATGCGTTGTCCTTGTATTGCTGCTGAGTCTGGCGTGGTCGAAACTTAGAAACATTGTCCTGATGTTACCGCTTGTTCTGGCGTGGTCGTGGCTTAGCTCCGTTGTCTTGGTAGGGATACTCTGGGTGGTTTTCGAGGCAGACGGACTGGCCCTGGGTGCGTCCAGCGGTGTCGCAGTCGTCTCCGTCGAACCCTCGTTGCTCTGGGTGTTCTTCGAGGCGGACGGACTGGCCCTGGGTGCGTCCAGCGGTGTCGCAGTCGTCTCCGTCGAATCCTCGTTGCTCTGGGTGTTCTTCGAGGCGGACGGACTGGCCCTGGGTGTGTCCAGCGGTGTCGCAGTCGTCTCCGTCGAATCTTTGTTGCTGTGGGTGTTCTTCGAGGCGGACGGACGGGCCCTGGGTGTATCCAGCGGTGTCGCAGTCGTCTCCGTCGAATCTTCGTTGATGGTTCTGGCGTGGTCGTATCGAATCGTGGGTTGGGTTCGGGTGGCGTTGCTGGGTCTGGCGTGTTCGAGATCCTGGTGCGTTGTCGTGGGTGCATTGCTGGGTCCGGCGTGGTTGAGATTCTGGTGCGTTGTCATGGTTACGTTGATGAGTCTGGCGTGTTCGAGATTCCGGTGCGTTGTCACGGTTACGTTGCTGGGTCTGGCAGGTTCGAGATTCTGGTGCGTTGTCACTGGTACATTGCTGGGTCTGGCGTGGTTGGGATGCTGGCGCGTTGTCACTGGTACATTGCTGGGTCTGGCGTGCTTGGGATGCTGGCGCCTTGTCACTGGTAGATTGCTGGGTCTGGCGTGGTCGAGGTTCGGGTGCGTCGGCTTCGTCCGGTGGGTCGCTGTTGGATTGGTCGAGCGGGTAGGAGCAGCGTATGCAGTCGCGGGACTTTCTCCACTAAAAGTAACCATGCGGGGCCGAGTCAAGGATAATGTGGGGATCGGGTTGGTTTCCCGGATCGCCCGCTGGGTCAACTGCAAGTACGCTCGTCCGCATTGTATTATGGCCTGGAAGCTGCAAAGGAAATCGAGCCCCAGTATGATGTCGTCCACTACCATGGGTAGGACTAATAGAATCACCCGCGTTTCCTGTTGATCCAGACGTACCTTGACCTCCTTTGCTGTACCATCCGCCAGGCGGACGGTAGTCCTTATGTTCCGTGCGTTCCCTCCGGTACTTATTTCATGGGCGATGCGTTGACTGACGAACGACCGCGTTGCTCCCGTGTCGAGGGTAGCTGTGAGCGGTACTCCTTCGATGGTTACTAGCGCGGCGATCCTGCCTCCTTCCTGACAAGCGGAGACTCGGCCCGTTTCCCGACTCGGATAGCCTACAGCAGTCGATCGTCCGGATGCCGCGGCGGCCACACTCCCAACAGAATAGCACTCGCCGATTCCTGCATGAACTGCTGAAATGACCTTCCTCCCCGCAATTCCGGCAGGCCCGGCGTGTGTTCACCGGCCGGTCTCCATCCTGGGTCACTACGCGGCTTGCTGTCTCGGCGCTCAGGGAGGGTCCGGTGTCGTCTAGAGGAGCATGCTGTGGGGTGGATAATCCGGGTCCTTGGTATGATGGCGTTCAGGCTTTCGTATTTGGGCGGTAGTTAGCTGGGTGGGTTTGTTCGCGGTCCCGTGTTGTCTCATACGCTACTATCAATTGGGTCAGTTCTCGCAACGTCTCGAACTCATGTCTACGGGTGACCATTTGGTATTCCGGCCGAAGGTTCTCGTAGATCCTGTCCAGCTCTCTGTCTGGAGTATACTGAGCTCGTTGCATCATGAGTCGGAGGTCGATCAAGTAGTCCTGAAAGGGGTTTCTCGGGGTCGTTGGTGACGGGAGCGGATCGTATCTTCCAAGCGCTGAAAGTATCGCGGGGGTAGGAAGAACTCCAAGAACTCCTTCCGGAACTCGGTCCATGGCTTGCCTTGCATCTGGAACGTCCTAAACCATCCTTCTGCCTTGCCAGTTAGTAGCCTGGAGATGGCTCGCGGCAGTTGTGCTGGACTTCAGCCATATGAGTCGACCCTTTCTTCCAACCGTTCGATGAAAGCCAGCGCACACCCCAATTGAGTAGTTTATCGGCCAGGGCAGCGAAAGAGATTTCTTCCCTTCCTGGTCACGAAGTTCCGGCTTCCTCGAGGGAGCGGTGCTGGTAGTGCTTGTCACCATGTCGTCGGTCGGTCGTGGCTTCCAGCCGGCCAGAGTCACTGTATCCATTACCTTGAGCTGCGCGCGGAACTCGGGAATTACGATGGATAGGGGCTGTTCCGCATAGATCCCTTCCTTCCGCTTCCGGCGACGGGGACGTGTTTCTCGGGTTCCTCGGGCTGGGCGCGCTGTCGAAGACCGTTCCGAGCTCTTCGATCTGTTTTTCGATCGCCGTCGGATGCTCGCCGCGCGAGATGAAGGCCGAGATCCGGCTGCGCAGTTCGTCCACTGTCCCGGTTTCACCGAGGCCGAATTCGGCGGCGATGGCCTGCAATTCGTCCTTGCGCCGATACGAAATCCACTGTACCCCCATGTCGAAGCACGGTGGTCGAACTGGCACTTCGAGGTCTTTCGCGTTTCCGGCGGTAGTATCACGTATTGACCCTTCCGGTAGAATCTTTTCTTAGGTGACGCACTGAATACCGGAGTCCTTGGGGCTAGTCACGGAAGCACGGCGTATGGTCGTTGATCTTTATAGTAGCCTGGGGATCGACCCTTGCTTGGCCGGTTGATAGTCCTTGCTATCGTTGTCCTTGGAATTGTCCTTGTGGTCCTGGTCGTGCTCGGTTCGTTGATTTAAGCGCTGGATCTCGTCCCGTGTTGATGGCTGAACGCTGACTGATCACTTTGAAGGCCGGGCGTTTCATGTTTAATGTTGAGAGTTCAACTATGGACAGTTAAACTGTGTAAAAATAGGAATGTGCAAAACATAAGATTATCTGCTACTGGAAAGTACGGTAACACAGTGCAAGGCCGAAAGAAGTTAACTTAAATTATTCATTAAAGAAGATTTTACTTTGGAAGCGCAAGTTTCAAAGGAAAAAAGATGGAAAAATTTATTTTAATCGCGGCAAAGGCTACGGAAAGATTCATGGTCAGAGTAGTTTGAAGGACAGAGAGGAAGACGGAGAGGAAAGTAATGCCTAGTCGGGCGGGATGGGACAGCAATTCTGATAAGGCTAATGAGGGCCGAAGATTCAACCTCGCCTAGGAGAAGTTTGAGGAGAAAGAGAATTCCATGACAAGTTCTACGGCTTTCAAGAGACAGCAAGTTAATGAGGCGCAGTCGACTCTCATAAGAAGGAAGATGACGAGAGGGGTCCCAATTAAGTCCGCGCAGGGCAAAGATAAGGAATTGTTTTTGAACGGACTCAAGCATATCTTGATATTTTTGGTAATGGGGAGACCAGATACAGGAACCATATTCCAAGATAGGCCGTACAAGAGAAACGTAGAGTAGTTTAGTGGTATAGGGGTCAGAAAATTCCTTCGACCATCTTTTGATAAAGCCAAGGACTCCTTTGGCTTTATTCGAAATAGCGGATATATAAAAAATAAAACATAAGTTCGGAACGAAGATAATGCTTAAGTCATTAACTTTGTACAGGCGTTCCAAGGAAATGTTATTAGTTGTAAAGTCAAAAAGGTAAGGCTTGTTGCGATGGAAGGTCCTGACGTTACATTTGGAAATGATAAGAGGAAGAGCGTTAATAATACACCAATTGTTTAGAGCGTCGAGATCTGATTGACATCGTCAGCATACATTAGGACTCGTGAATTCGTTAAAACTTGGGGAAGATCGTTGATAAAGAGGTTAAATAATAAGGGCCCGAGATGGCTACCTTGCGGCACACCCGGAGAGACAAAAACTGGTTTAGAAAGAGAAGATTGGAAGCAGACACGCTGAGAACGATTGCAAAGGTACGCATTAGTCCAGTGAAGAAGTTTAGTCGGAAATCCTAGTAGAGATAGTTTGTGGATGAGGAGATTGTGATTAACTGAATCGAAAGCTTTACTAAAATCAGTATAAACTACGTCAGTTTGACATTGCTTTGCAAATCCGGCAGTTACGAAGGAGGAAAATTCAAGGAGGTTAGACGAAACGGAGCGACGTTTTACAAATCCGTGCTGTGATTCTGATAACAGGGAACTACAAAAGTGTTGGAGCTGAGAAGTAATAATTTTTTCGAAGAGTTTAGGAATGGCAGATAAGTTGGAGATACAACGGTAGTTTAAGACGTCTGATTTAGACCCCTTTTTATGAATAGGAATTATGTAGGATTCTTTCCAGACGGTGGGAAAATCACCAAGCTCGAGAGAGAGGTTGAACAGTTTCAAGAGGGGCGCGCAAAGAGAATCCGCACAGAGTTTGAGCACGGCGCTGGGAACCAAATCTGGACCAGTGGAGAAAGAAAGTTTACATGATTTTAAATTAGTTAGAAGGCCATCATAATCAATAAAGGGGGGGTGGATACCACTTGAACTATTAAAAGGGATAGGATATGAGTGCGAGGCAGGATAGTCGTGGGGTGAGGCGAGAATAGAGGGCATGTTATTAGAAGGAGCAGAGTAGCAAAGTTGAAAAAATGAAGCAAATAGATTAGCGATATCGGAATTGTTATCCGCGTAAGTACCATTCAAGTGTAAAGAAGAGGGATATTGTGAAGAATTACGTTTAGGTTAGGTTAGGTTAAGTTAACAAACTTAAAGAATTGTTTAGGATCTCGTTTAAAGTTGAGCTTACATTTTGCCAAATAACTATTATAGCATAGGGTATTACAAATTGAAAATTTAGATTTTGCAATTCAATACTTAGAGAAATCTGACTGCGAGCCAGACAGTTTAAACCTCTAATATAAACGAGATTTCATATTCCTTATGTTTACTAGCCGCGGAGTGAACCAAATAGGGCCAGAAAGATTTCTGAGAGAGGAAACTAATGGAACAAAGGTAGGAAAGATTGAAAAAACAGTGCTGTAGAATGCGTGAGTGTCGGGTTCGATCTCATGAAAGTCGTCGAGGAATGACCAATCTATCAGAGAAAGTGCGCTATTCAAAGAGGTAAAATCAGCCCTCTTGAAGCAAAATATAGCTGAAGGCTTTATGCAGGATTTGGTGGGACCAGGTGAAGGCAGCTGGACATCTATTTCCAGGGTAGGATGGTAAAAGTCTTCGGGAAAAGATAGAGGGGAACCTCGGCGTACTAAAGTGTTCGTAGAGTCGTGAGTAAATACAAGGTCTAAAATCGTACCAATGCTATTGCATATGCCGTTTATCTGACCCAATGATGAGTCGGACAGAGAATCAACGAAATCGTGCTGTATGATTGGGAACATCTGGTTGGAGTCTTTGGATGAAGACCAGGAAATATATGGAAGATTAAAATCTCCGAGGACGATAAGAAAATCGGACTCATTAAGTTGGGACGAAACAGATTGAAAAAGGGCTGCGTGAAGCATGTAGGTTGAAAATTCAGAGGACGGTGGGATGTAAGAGCACGATATAAATAGATTTATCGAGGAGAGTCGAAGCTTAGCTACTATAATTTCAATATTTTTATGAGCTTCGACAGAAACAAGTTGGGATGTTATGTCAGAACGGACAGCAATCAGGACACCACCACCACGAGATGGACGATCCGAACTATAAATGTTAAATTTGTCAATAAGGATTTCAGAATCAGAGATTGAGGGATGAAGCCAGGTTTCGGAGAAAGCGATAATGTCGGCCTCAAAAGTTGCACTATCAGTATGTAACTTGTTGAGCTTGCTGCCCAAGCCACGAACGTTCTGATAGGCAATCTTTAACGTACTTGGGGAAGCCAGTTTTTTGCTACAGAAGATGTAGCAGACGGAGTTGCAGATGAAGCAGATGGAGTTGGAAGAATACCTACTCGATGATCCGGGCTGGTGGGACGATTTGTAAAGAGGTGACAAATCGTATGCACCGGCCAGAAAGAGGGGTCGAGCAAACTATTAACATGCTTATCAGGGACGAGAATTTTAAAAGGGGAGATGTTTCGCTTGACTTTGAAGTTAAATTTGGTAACTACGAGACCCGCAGAACTATCTATGTTGAGTTTAGACAATATAAAGTTTCGGACCATGACCTCCGTAGCCAATGCCATGAGTCGAGAGACGAAAATAGGTTTTGAAGGAGCAACCGCAGTAAGAACAGATAGAGGGGTCACAGAATTATTTGTTGAGACGGGAGCAGTGGACGTAGAGGTGTTAGTTGGGAAAGCAGTAGTTATGGGAGTTGAGGTTGAGGGAGCCTCAAAATTCCTCTGGACGGCAGCGTTAGCGGCTTGAAGTATGACCACAGAAGTGCTTGCGACGGCTTCCTCGTTGACTTTCGGGCCGACATCCTGGCCAGACACAGGGGCGGGAGGGGCACCAGGTGCGACTGCAGGAGAGACTGCAGATCAGGCCGACGTCGTAGTCGTTGCAATGGAACCATTAGAACAAAGGTCCGTGGCATCAAAATTTATTAGTGACGGTGATCGAGATTGGGGTGCAGGTGATCCCGGGACTGGAAGAGAAACGACCGGATTAGAATTTGGCAAATAAGTTTTAACCTTCTTTCGCTTTGAGACTCAGTAAAAATTTTAAGGTTTTTTAAATGAGACTCCATCGCTAGAAACTTATCCTGTAGCATTTTGAGTCCAGAGTTGAGTGCTGCGAATTCATTATGAGTCTGTCTCATAAAAACCCGCATGTCGTTCTCAATAGCTCTGCAGTCCTAACAGGTCCAGTTGAGGCCGCAGCGAGTATGTATGAGGTCGACTGCGCGTCCTCCAATTTGGCCAAAGTCGGCGCAAACAGTGTGTGCCATGTTATCACACAACCAACAGAAGGTGAATGTTTGCCGTGCGGCAGCCGAGCGACAGCGTTTAGCACAACAAATACTCATTATGAAAAGATGAGGAAAATAAATATGAGAAAGGTGAGATTATTCGAGGAAAATGCTTGAGCGATGACTTTAAGTCGAAACTAATAATGATCAAATAGCACAAACAATTACGCAGATCAATACAGCAACAACAACGAACAAACGGCCGTCGCAAAATCACAAATACAAAACGAACACGAAACGAGGGGGAACGTTGTGAGTTGCTGCGGACACCGCAACTCTACAGCTATACCCGATACTAAGTCAGTATGGCTCTCCTCCGGCAGACGCCGCTAATATTAAACGACACGACAAAGAGTGCGTGCGAGAGAGACAGAAAATCAGTCTAAGCGTGACGTCGGGCGCTGCGTAGCCACTGAAAATTGTTCTTTTCGGCTATAAAAATTATCCGATCTGATCCAAATTCAGCAAGCGGATAGACATGGTCATTCTCTATGATTCTGCGTTTTTAGTTTTCTCGAATCTGCAATATTTTGGATGCAATAGATGCTCGTCCTTTGTCTGGGCGGAAGGGGGTGGGGCGAAATTCTGAGATATACGTTTTATAGTGAGATCTAACAGAAGTGCGGATACCAAATTTGGTTACTCTAGCCTTAATAGTCTCTGAGATTTGTAGTTGCCCCAGATTTTTGTCCTTTGCGAGGGCGGAAGGGGGTGCGGCGAAATTTTGACACAAAACGGTTAAGGTCCGATATCACAGGAGTGTGGATACCAAATTTGGTTGCTCTAGCTCTTATGGGTTCTGAGATCCTGGAACTCATATTTTGCAATTGGCAAAACCGACCATGAAACCTGTGTGTTAGAGTGAGACAGAGCGAGAAAGAGTGAAATTGTTTTCGTGATTCTGGCTATAATAATTATACGATCTGGTTCAGATTTTGCACTCTGTAAGATATAGTCATCTTCTACGATTCTGCGTTTTTAGTTTTATCGTATCTTTAAAAATGTGGATGCCACAGATTTTCGTCCTTTGTGGGGGCAGAAGTGGGC